CACTATACACTACACTATACACTACTATACACTACACTATACACACTATACACTAGTATACAATACACTACACTATACACTACTATACACTACACTACTATACACTGCACTATACACACTATACACTACTATACAATACACTACACTATTAACTACACTATACACTACACTATACACTACACTATACACTACACTTTACACTACACTATACACTACTATACACTACTCTACACTACACTGCTATACACTACACTATACACTACACTATACACTACTCTACACTATACACTACACTATACACTACTATACAATACACTACACTATACACTACACTATACACTACTATACAATACACTACATTATACACTACTCGACACTATACACTACACTATACACTACTCTACACTATACACTGTACACTACTATACACTACACTAATATACACTACACTACTATACATTACACTATACACTACAACTACTATATACTACTATACACTACACTATACACTACACTATACACTACAACTACTATATACTACTATACACTACACTATACACTACACTATACACTACATCTACTATATACTACTATACACTACATCTACTATATACTACTATACACTACACTATACACTACACTATACACTACTATACACTACACTATACACACTATACACTAGTATACAATACACTACACTATACACTACTATACACTACACTACTATACACTGCACTATACACACTATACACTACTATACAATACACTACACTATTAACTACACTATACACTACACTATACACTACACTATACACTACACTTTACACTACACTATACACTACTATACACTACTCTACACTACACTGCTATACACTACACTATACACTACACTATACACTACTCTACACTATACACTACACTATACACTACTATACAATACACTACACTATACACTACACTATACACTACTATACAATACACTACATTATACACTACTCGACACTATACACTACACTATACACTACTCTACACTATACACTGTACACTACTATACACTTCTCTACACTACACTACTATACACTACTCTACACTATACACTACTCTACACTACACTATACACTACACTATCACTACTATACAATACACTACACTATACACTACTATACAATACACTATACACTGCACTATACAATACACTACACTACTATACACTACACTACTGTATACTACACTACTATACATTACACTATAAACTACACTACTGTATACTACACTACTATACACTACACTACTATACACTACACTATACACTGCTATACACTACACTACGTTACACTACACTGTTTTACCATACTATACACTCCACTACTATACACCACTACTATACACTACACTACTATACATTACACTACTATACACTTTTATATTCTACACTACTATATACTACACTACTATACTACACTATACACTACACTATACACTACACTATACACTACACTATACACTACACTACTATACACTATACACTACACTACTATACACTGCACTCTACACTACACTACTATATACTACACTATACACTACACTCTACACTACACTCTACACTACTATACACTACACTACTATACGCTGCACTCTACACTACACTACTATAAACTACACTATACACTACACTCTACACTACTATACTACACTACTATACACTACACTACTATACACTGCACTCTACACTACACTACTATATACTACACTACACTCTACACTACTATACACTACACTACTATACGCTGCACTCTACACTACTATAAACTACAATATACACTACACTCTACACTACTATACTACACTACTATACACTACACTATACACTACACTACTATACACTGCACTCTACACTACACTACACTCTACACTACTATACTACACTATACACTACACTACTATACACTACACTATACACTACACTACTATACACTGCACTCTACACTACACTACTATATACTACACTATACACTACACTCTACACTACTATACTACACTACTATACACTACACTACTATACGCTGCACTCTACACTACACTACTATATACTACACTATACACTACACTCTACTATACTACACTACTATACACTACACTACTATACACTACACTACTATATACTACACTATACACTCTACACTACTATACACTTCACATTGAGGCCCATCGTTAAGCGATTTGTTGTTAACAGGGTGGTCGTTCAGGGGGTTTTACAGTAGTCCTGTAAACATCAACAACAGCAGCAGCAGCAACAATCGTCAAAGTGAACTTTGACTCCCAGGTATTATTGTTGTAGAGCAGTTCAAAGCGACATCGCGGTTACATTGTGAATGCTTATCGGTCCAAGTTCTCATTCTCAAAGTCTGCTGCGTGATTCAATAAACGTGCACTCCCTTCTTTAAGATAATAACGACATCGTCATCGTTTGAAATAGCTTATCTTTGCACATTCTCGTAAGGCACGTTTTTAGGCGTTGTGTGTGTGGTTTTTTTTTCGTGTTTTAAATGCGTTTATTGTACGACATTTGCATGAATCAACATGCAAAGAGACGCAAATATAATATTGTCATATTGTACTGTACCGCCACTACCACTCCAATCTCGAAGATTCTACGTCATGGGGTGATGTACGTAGCACTACTACGCTCTTGTTTTAACACAGCCACTTGTGATCTTTATAGCCAGTATCAAAGTATAAAAAAAAGAGTAATTGTATTGCCAGAAATGGTAAAACCCTTTCTTATTATTTTACACGCTTTTATTTAACTCGCTCTGTCTGTTGTCAGTGTTGTTGTATCCTCAAATATGTAACTCAAGTTTAACAAACTTCCCAGAGGGGTATCGACTGAAAACTTGGTATACTTATGTCATACTGATTACAATACTATATTCTATCATGAAAAACAAATATTTTGAAACAATCTTTTTTATAATAATATAATAATAGGGGTTTTTCCCCTTTTTTCCTGGCAACAAAACTGAAACCTTTTTTACAAGGATTCATGTTACTGCCTTAACCACAATACCTGCAGTCAAAATGCAACAAAAAAAAAACATACTATGATAATATATGATGCATTGTCCTTGAAACTGATTGGTCCACACCAAGGGATGGCTTTCTTTGAGCCTCGACCCAATTGGTGCTCGACCAGAGGATGCCAGAAGGCGTCCACAGCTCAAAGACAATGCACTATCAACTAATGAGGGCTCGCGGTCGAGGCTCAAAAGAAGCCGTCCCTTGGTGTGGACCAATCAGTTTCAAGGACAATGTATATATTTTTCTTCTTTGTTCTTTCGGTGAAGTCACGTAGAATGAGAATAAAATATACATTGATAAATAACACAATAAAATTCTCACGACGTTTCGGCCACAACACAAGCGGTCCTTCATCAGGTGAAGGCCTTCACAGTCTCGTCCCTTCACCTGATGAAGGCCGCTGTGTTGTGGCCGAAACGTCGTGAGAATTTTATTGTGTTATTTTATTTTATCAATTTATTATTTATTCTCATTCTACGTGACTTTGCCGAAAGAACCAAAGAAGATGAATCCTTGCAGTCACGAAAGCTTTAAATCGAAAATGCATATATTATCATAGAATGTCTTTTGTTTGCATTTTGACTGCAGGTATTGTGCTTAATGCAGTAACATGAATCCTTGTAAAAAAAAGGTTTCAGTTTTGTGTTGCCAGAAAAAAGGGGAAAAAACCCTATTATTACATTTTGGTATTGGCAAAGGAGGTCTAATTTTTTTTACATGTTACGTTTCGACTTGGGTCTTTGTCCACGCTCAACTCACGTTGGCTGTAAATCACCACGGTCCTCTTAGGTTGCGGCAAGCTTCGGGGCCACTTCCTGGAGTGTTGGAGTTCTTCCATTACGAGTACGGTACATTTCATGAAAGCGTGTTTAAAAAAAAAACAAAGTGAAACCTTGGAATGTGAGTAACTTGGCCTGCGAGTGTTTTGCAAGAAGAGCAAAAAGTTGTAAATCAATATTTAATTTGATAAACGAGCGAGGGTCTCGCGATACGAGCAGCGTACGTGTAGTACGCTTTGTCTCCCCGAGCGTCACGTGATCACACACTGATGTAACGAGTGCTTTGGATTACAAACACGTTTCCCGGAACGAGTTACGCTCGCAGTCCAAGGTTTTACCGTGTTACTTATTCACGCAACCGCTTCTGCTTGACGGCCGCCGGACCGATGCGGCCTTCAGATCCGCCGCTCCGGCTAGCGACGAGTGTATAGCAGGATCGCACCGTGCACGTTTTCAGTTGTCATTAAGCCCTGGTTAGTGGTCGTGAAAAATGTGTTAACACGTTGCGGTGTTTTCATTGTCTACGTTGTACGTACGTAGTGCATAATGTACCGGATGTAATGCTGGACACTTGAGATCATGCACACGGCGCCGATCGCCTCGGGGGGGGGGGGGGAGGGGGGGGTGGGAGCAGTTTCGCCGGTTTCGCCGGATCGGCCCGAGACCGCTGTACAATGCTGGAAGCAGCCGGATAATCGCGCGGTGCCGGATAACCGACGATCGACTGTCACGTTGTTCCACTCCCCGCCCCTCTCGCCACGCGGTTTCGCTGCCGCGCAGTTATTCTGGGAACGCGCGCCGTTGGAACGCTGGAACGCGCGCGGCCCGTTACAACGTGGTCGAGAGACACCCGTGGGGAGCCTCCGGCCAAACGAGTTCCGAACCGGAGCGCTCGCCGATCCCCGCCCCCCCCCCCCCACCCCCTCACCACCGTTCCCCCCCCCACCCCCGTGTCACCAGCGCCACGACCCTGTCATGCTGACATCGGCGCTCGTCCTCGCCCGCCGGACGCTGCCGGCGGGCGTCGCCGCCTCTCCCGCCGGCGCCGGGGCCTTCCGTCCGTCGCCGCCTCCCGCGCCGCCTCCTCCTCCTCCTCCGCCTCCTCCTCCTCCTCCGCCTCCTCCTCCTCCTCCGCCCCTCCTCCGCCTCCTCCTCCCTCCGCCTCCTCCTCCTCCGCCGCCGCCGCCGCCGGATGCCTGTCTCCCGTGTCGTCGCGAGCCTCCGCGTTCGGAGAGCGCCTGGCCATCGTCGACCGGCACGGCACGGCGACGTACGGGGCCCTGCTGCGGGCCGGGGGCGCGTCGCCCGGCGCATCCAGCGGGCGCTCGACGGCGATGACGGGGGTAAGGGGGGGGGGGGGGATGGGGGTCGACGTGAGTCATCGCGGGTCGTTGTTGTGAGTCGTGAGTCGGTGTTGTGAGTCGATGTTGTGAGTCATTGTGAGTCGTTGTTGTGAGTCGTGAGTCGATGTTGTGAGTCGGTGTGAGTCATTGTGAGTCGTTGTTGTGAGTCGTGAGTCGATGTTGTGAGTCGTGAGTTGATGTGAGTTGTGAGTTGATGTTGTGAGTCGTAGTTGTGAGTCGTAGTTGTGAGTTGTGAGTCGTTGTGTGTCCTTGTGAGTCGTGAGTCATTGTGAGTCGTTGTTGTGAGTCGTGAGTTGATGTTGTGAGACGTTGTGAGTCGTTGTGTGTCGTTGTGAGTCGGTGTGAGTCGATGTTGTGAGTCGTGAGTTGATGTTGTGAGTCGTGAGTTGATGTTGTGAGTCGTAGTTGTGAGTCGTTGTGAGTCGTGAGTCGTTGTGTGTCGTTGTGAGTCGTGAGTCATTGTGAGTCGATGTTGTGAGTCGTTGTTGTGAGTCGTGAGTCGATGTTGTGAGTCGTGAGTTGATGTTGTGAGTCGTGAGTTGATGTTGTGAGTCGTGAGTTGATGTTGTGAGTCGTTGTGAGTCGATGTTGTGAGTCGTTGTGAGTCGATGTTGTGAGTCGTGAGTCGTCGTTGTGAGTCGTTGTGTGTCGTAGTTGTGAGTCGTAGTTGTGAGTCGTTGTGGTCGTAGTTGTGAGTCGTGATCTCTCTGTGTCTTCCTGTCCACGGATCGCAGGCGCCTGGTGCCCACAACCCCCACGCCCCGCTCTTTGCTCCGTATTTTCCTTTTTCCTCAACGTGTGTGGTGAAATTCTTTCGCACCGCCATACTTTAGCCAACCGCGCTCATCGCAGGTGCGGTGGGTGAGGACAGCAGACTAAACAACAACAACACAGTTCTTAACCAAATCGTTTGTCAACCAACGAGACTTCCTCATATCGTGAAGGAAGAGCGTTCCAGACGGCCGCGGAAGCGCGCGACGCGGTGACCGCCGTCTCTTCGCGGGGCGAACGAGCGAGCGGTGGACTCGCTCACCCCGGTGGACTCGCTGTCCGCCTGGACGATCGCCTCGCCACGCCTCACCCTCCCCCCCCCCCCCCCCGCCCCCCCCCCCCCCCCCCCCCCCCTCGCCGTCCGCCTCCCAGGGAATCCGGCGGCGACAAATTCGGGCGGCGGAGGGGCGGCGGAGGCGGTGGCGTTCCTGTGCCCCAACGACGCTCGCTACGTGGCGGCCCAGTGGGCCGCGTGGCTACGCGGCGCCGCGGCCGTGCGCTCTACCACCGGCACCCGCGGCGCGAGCTCGAGTACGTGGCGGGCGACTGCGGCGCCCGCGTCGTCCTCTCGACGGAGGAGTTCGCGGAGGCGGCCGCGGGGGTCGCCCGCGGGATGGGCGTGCCGCACGTGACGGTGCGGCGGAGCGACGTGTACGGCGGCGGCGGCAACGGCGGCGACGGCGGAGCGGCCGGGATCGGCGGCGACGGCGGAGCGGCCGGGATCGGCGACTGGCGAGAGCGGCCGGCGATGGTCGTGTACACCAGCGGCACGACGGGGAGGCCCAAGGGAGTCCTGAGCACGCACGGGAATCTCCACGCGCAGGTGGATGAAGCTAGGTGCTGGGCCCGCAGCGCGATGCTATTAAGGGGGCCCTGAATGAAAAAGTTAGAGACAAACATTTTAACTTGCATAGTAAAGTTATTGGGACCTTTTTTTCATTTGTCATGCAGCCAGATACTACGAGAAATCCATAGCCTTAAACACCCGGTCGTTCATAAAAGTCGAAGGCGGTGTAGTACTATGGTAATAGAGCAAGTGCAGAATCACTGATCCGGAGTTGATAGCGTGAAAGCGTTTAGCGCGGGGCCCTTGAAATTGCGGGGCGCGTAGCGTGTGATACTCACCCCCATCTGGCTCTGGCAGAACCTTGACGCCTGATGCATATTTGGAGTTTGCGTCTCTCTCTCTCTCTGTCTCTCTGTCTCTCTCCCCGTTTTTTTGCGTGAATGTTTCTCCGTGCCCGCCGCTTTGCTTCCCCCACGTTTAGCATCGACGGCGCCTGTTTAGAGCGTTGGGCGACCGCCGTGAATCTCCAACGCGACGGATGACGGGGAAGGGCAATTTCCGTTGAGCTCAGCCGGTCAAATTGAAAACACGTCTTCGCAGCTTTCGCGTTTTTTTTTTGCATTTTTAAACTCCCGGCGCGCGTCCGTTCCCCGTGCACGGCCGACAGGTCTCCTGCCTGCTGGAGGCGTGGGAGTGGAGCTGCGACGACGTCATCCTCCACACCCTGCCACTGCACCACACGCACGGCATCGTCAACAAGCTGCTGTGCCCCCTCGCCGTGGGGGCCTCGTGCGTCATGCTGCCCGAGTTCGATCCCCGGCAGGTTGGCGGTCGCAGGGAAGGAGGAGCCGCCACTCCTGCCCGTTCACTCGCCCACCCGCTCAATTCATTCACGAATTCACTTGACCCAGTCAAGTTGTGAATTCACTCGCCCACTCGCTCACGCCGTTCACTCACCCGCTCACCCGCTCACTCGTTCACGGATTCAATCGCTGATTCTCGCCGGCTCGTTCGCTCGCCGCTGTGTTCACCCACCGTACGGAGGGTCACGGTAAAAGAAGCACACGCTTCACTCGCCCGCTCGCTCACCCACTTGCTCACCGACTCACTCACACGCTCACTCACCCGCTCGCTCACCCGCTCGCCCCTCGCTCACCCGCTCACTCGCCCACCCACTCGCTCACCCACTCACTCACCCACCCGCTCACTCACTGACCCACTCGTCCATTCACTCATCCACCCACCCACCCACTCACCCACTCACCGGTTCCGTTCCGTCTGCACGTACGTCATCAGAACTGGAAAGGGGTAATGACCGCGAGCCTTCTTACTGACACGGAATGTGTCGAGTTGCTGCTGCTGCTGCTGCCGTTGGCCCCGCCCGTGCATCACCACTGCCAACGCGTCGCCGTCGCTCTGTCCCGCGTACCCCCCCCCCCCACGCCCCTGCCCCCCCCCCAGTGTGGGAGCACCTGCTGAGCGGCGAGGCGTCGCCGCGGGTGAACGTGTTCATGGCGGTGCCCACGGTGTACGCGAGACTCATCGACTACTACGACGAGCACTACACGCGGCCACGCGTCCGCGACTTCGTGCGCGGCATGTGCAAGGAGCACATCCGGTCGTGTGTGTGTGCGTTGTGGTGTGTGCGTGTGTGTGTGTGTGGGTGTGTGTGTGTGTGTGTGTGGGTGCGTGTGTGTGTGTGTGGGTGTGTGGTGTGTGTGTGGGTGCGTGTGTGGGTGCGTGTGTGTGCGTGTGTGTGTGTGTGCGTGTGTGGGTGCGTGTGTGTGCGTGTGTGTGTGTGTGCGTGGGTGGTGTGGGTGCGTGTGTGTGTGTGTGTGTGCGTGTGTGTGCGTGTGTGTGTGTGCGTGTGTGGGTGCGTGTGTGTGCGTGTGCGTGTGTGTGCGTGGGTGTGTGTGGGTGCGTGTGTGTGTGTGCGTGGGTGCGTGCGTGTGCGTGTGTGTGCGTGCGTGTGTGTGGTGTGTGCGGTGTGCGTGTGTGCGTGGTGCGTGTGTGTGTGTGTGCGTGCGTGCGTGCGTGTGTGTGTGCGTGTGTGGGTGCGTGTGTGTGCGTGCGTGTGCGTGTGTGTGCGTGTGTGTGTGTGTGCGCGCGCCCCTTGTGCGCCGTTCCGGCCTTCACAGGTGCTCGCTAACAGCACTTGCCCCAACAGTCTGTTAAGGCTACACGGGGGATCTTTGTCTTTGTGTGTGCGTGCGTATCGGGCGGAGTGGTAGCGTAGCGGTTTAGCGCTACGCTGCGCTCCGAACCTGGCGACCCGGGTTCGATTCCCACTCGCGGCCAAACACCGCTTACGATTATCTGAACCGGTCCTGGGCCTCCCCTAGGTCGACTCGGCCTCAAACGAGTACCTGGCGCGATGTGAAAACATCGCCACTGGGGAGACAAAGGCGGCGGGGCGTGGTGCCGGCCACCCACCCCCTCCGTGTGCCGTGCCGCCCTTCTTAGGCGCTCGCTGACAGCACTCGCCCCAACAGCCCGTTAAGCCTACACGGGGGATCTTTGTCTTTGTACGGGTAGTGAACGCCCCCCCGCCCCCCCTCCCCCTTCTCCCCTTCCCGCCGTGACAGCCTCATGGTGTCGGGCTCTCGCGCTCTCCCCATGCCCGTGCTGGAGCGCTGGGAGGAGATCACGGGGCACCGTCTGCTGGAGCGCTACGGCATGACGGAGCTGGGCATGGTGCTCTCAAACCCCCTGCGCGGGGAGAGGATTCCCGGTGAGGATTCGGCGCGTCTCGCCGCGGCAGCTGGCTCGGAGATGTGAGCTGCCTCGCCGGGTACGCGGGAGGTCGTGGGTTCGATCCCGACCCTGACGACGCCCGCTGTAAATTAGAAGTTTTGCGTCCCGCTTCCTTCCCCCCCCCGCGGTGGTTGCGTGGATTTTTTTTTTCCCCCGGGTCCCTTCCAGGCCTTTCCCTCCTCATTTGGAATCGACGGGCCGTCGTTTGTGATGGCCCACGTCGCTTCTGACAAAAGCGCTGCGCAGCTACGGTGGGCCTGACCTGGTAAATAAAATAACCGAAGCTGGGCCTCCCCTAGGTCGACTCGGCCTCGAATGAGCGCCTGGTGTGGTGTGTGAACGTCGCCGGTTGGGAGACAGAGGGCGGGCCGGGCGTGGTGCTGGCCACCAACCCCCTCGTGCGGCGTGCCGGCCTTCGTGGGTAGCTACTCGTCAGCAGCTCTTGCCCCTGCGGTCTGTTCGAGGCTCTACGGGGGGCGGGGGACCTTTGTCTTTGTGGTTGTTGTTGCCGTAGGCGCGGTGGGGTCACCTCTGCCGGGCGTGGAGGTGAGGATCGTCATGGAGGCGGTGAGTGGGGGCGAGTCGTGCAAGGCGATCGTCCAGGCAGACAGCAAGTCCACGAGGGTGAGTGACTCGGCCACTCACCGCTCGCTCGCTCACCACGCACTCGTTCACCATGCACTCACTCACCACGCACTCACTCACTCACTCACCATGCACTCACTCACCACGCACTCACTCACCATGCACTCACTCACTCACCATGCACTCACTCACCACGCACTCACTCGCCACGCACTCACTCACTCACCATGCACTCACTCACCATGCACTCACTCACCATGCACTCACTCACCACGCACTCACCACGCACTCACTCACCATGCACTCACTCACCATGCACTCACTCACTCACCATGCACTCACTCACCGCACTCACTCACTCACCATGCACTCACTCACCATGCACTCACTCACCATGCACTCACTCACTCACCATGCACTCACCACGCACTCACTCACTCACCATGCACTCACTCACCATGCACTCACTCACCATGCACTCACTCACCATGCACTCACTCACTCACCATGCACTCACTCACCATGCCCTCGCACACCATGCACTCACTCGCTCATCCATGGTGGCGAGATGTTAACTACCTCGCCTGGTATACAGGAGGTCGTGGGTTCGATCCCGACCCTGATGCCTGCTGTATATTTGGAGTCTGCGTCTCTCTCTCTCTCATCATCATCATCACGGTGGCTAGGAGATGTTAACTACCTCGCCTGGTGTAGAGGAGGTCGTGGCTTCGATCCCGACCCTGACACCTGCTGCTGTATATTTGGAGTCTGCGTCTCTCTCTCTCATCATCATCATCATGGTGGCTATGAGATGTTAACTACCTCGCCTGGTGTACAGGAGGTCATGGCTTCGATCCCGACCCTGACACCTGCTGCTGTATATTTGGAGTCTGCGCCTCTATCTCTTTTTCCCCGTGTTCGCGTGGATTTTTTTCCCCATCTCCTTCGGTTTTTCCCTCCACATTTAGAATCACCATCACGCGTCTAGATTTTTTTCTCTGCTATAAATGTCCACGTGATGATCATGATGATGATAAGCCACTTGGCTGGGCCATCATTTGCGACGGCCAGGCAGCTTCTGAAAAATAAATGCCTAGCAGCTCAGTGGGACCTTACTGGGTAAAAATAAAAAAAATTGTTTCAGTCGGAGTTTCCACTCTCCGTGACCAGCACACAAATTTCCCACAAAATCTCACGGCTGCCCAAATGGCCGGCCATGGGGGGGGGGGGGGGGGGGGGGGGGGGGGGTGTCCTGGTCCTGGGGCCTAAATCACAAAAACGTGACACTCGCCCCCCACCCCCCCTCCACCCCACCATAGGAATGTGGAATGTCCACCGCTGGATCTGCAGGGTTGTTTTAAATAACGTGTAAAAAAAAAAAAACTCGGCACGGACTGATCGTGTTTGCGCGCAGTGAACAAAGGGACCATTGTTCCAAAACGTCGCCTGTTACACATTTGTTTTGTACAAACGGCGCAAGCGTTGCTACTCACACGCGACGCGTCTGGTTTGCTTTTTCTCGCTTGTGCTGATGCACCGCCGCCGACCCTGGGGCCCTCCCCTAGGTCGACTCGGCCTCAACTGAGTGCCTGGCGCGGTGCGCATGGAACGCACTTGGCACTCGGGAAATGCAAAGGCGACCGGGCGTGGTGCTGGCCACCCACCTCCCTCGTGTTGCCCGTGTCGGCCTTTACGTGTGCTGCTCACTTGCCCCCGACAGTCTGTTAAGGCTATAGGGGGGATCTTTGTCTTTGGCGGGGGGGGGGGGGAGATGGAGAGCACGCGCCTGGGACCCCATCAGAATATTTTGAGGCAGGAATCGGCAACGGGGAGACAAAGGTGGGCAGGGGCGTGCCTCTTGACCACACGGTCTCCAGGGGGGGGGGGGGGGGGGGGGGGGGGGGGCGTCTTTGTGTCATGTCGTATCCTATCATCGCTATCATCGCTGCCACCGGTCGCAGGTGACGCCGGGCTTCGAGGGCAAGGAGGGAGAGTTGCAGGTGTCGGGCCCCTCGGTTTTCAAGGAGTACTGGCGGCGGCCTCTTGAGACCAAGGAGGCTTTCACTTCGGACGGCTGGTTCAAGACGGGTACGTGCGGTTGTGGCAGGTGGTGCGGCGGTGTCGGCTGTGCGTTCACAGCCCTCGCTCACGTGGCCTCGCAGCGAGCAGGGGCCTGGGTTTGACTCCCGACTCGGGCGTATTCCTGTGTGTGGAGTTTGCGCGTTCTCTCTTCCCCGTGTTCTGTAGAGTGTGAGTGAGTGGGTGAGCGTGTGTGTGAGTGAGTGAGTGTGTGTGTGAGTGTGTGAAGTCAGTGTGTTCTTCCCCCTGTTCTGTAGAGTATGAGCGAGTGTGTGTGTGTGTGTGAGTGAGCGGCTCCGGTTTGACAAGCAGAGGTCTCGCTCCGAATCAGTCGAGGGGCATTATCTTTTCATCGGTCGCGTAATGCTGTGTGGAAGCTGCTTGGTCTGTCGCTCCGCACGAAGCTTCAGGTCTTCTCGGCCACAGTCATGCCCTCTACACTCCTGGGTTTAACTAAGCTGGATTGTGTGAGGAGCTCACAAATCCTTGAAAGATGTGGACAAAGTCCCATCGGTGAGCTCCTTCGGAAAGGCAAGGCTGCATTGGCTGGGTCATGTAGCCCACATGCCAAGCCACCGCATGCCTAAACAGCTTTTGTTCGGCCATAAAGAGGGGGCTAAACGGGCGCGGCACGGGCTGGAGAAGAGATGGAGTGATGTGGTACAGGAGGACGTGGAGCTGAGTGGACTTGCCGATGACTGGTCAAGATTGGCCTCTGTGGAGGAGGCTCGTGAAGGACGCTGCTGCTGCTACTGGGCAGTTGGAGGCAGTTGCCCTCCAACAACAACGGAGGGCGGAGGAGCGATGCTCACAACAACGAGCGCTGGGTGGCTAAAGCACAGCAAGTTGGCGCAGTAGGGGGCACAGTGCATCAGCCAGTCATCTCAGTCATCTCAGTCAGTCGACCCGTGGCACCTGCTGGGTCTGCCCCGTGACCTCCTGGCAGCGGGCGTTCGACACTTCACGTGGCCTCAACGTGCACATAGCCTGGCACAAGCGTCGTGGTGACGTCACCGCCAATTAGTCGCGAATGGCAGTTGTTGTTGTGTGAGTGAGTGGGGGGCGGTAGTGTAGTGGTTAGCGCGCTGCGCTACGAACCTGGCGAGCCGAGTTCGATTCCCGGCCAACATCAGTGACGTTTATCTGAACTGGTCGTGGGCCTCCCCTAGGTCGACTCAGCCTCAAATGAGTACCTGGTGCGCTGTGTAAAACATCGCCACTGGGGAGACAAAGGCGGCCGGGCGTGGTGCTGGCCACCCACCCCCCTCGTGTTACCGTGCCGGCCTTCGTTAGGTGCTCACTAACAGCACTTGCCCCAGCAGTCTGTTACAGGCTACGCGGGGGATCTTCGTCTTTGTTGAACTTCTTTCGCTCCGTACGTTGCCAACCGCGCCAATGGGAGGTGCGGGGGAAGGACAACAAACGAAACGCAGCAAGAGGCCGTTCTAAAGGACGAAGTTTGTCAATTTAGGCAACTTAACAGCTCCCAGCGGCTTCCTAATATCGGAAAAGGGCAAGAGCGTTCCAGACGGTCGCAGAAGCGGTGCATCTTTAAACCGCGTGATTTGGTTCATCAACAAAACCCAGAACAGGACGTTTTGAGTGGAGGTCGCATCCAGCACCGTCGCCGTGAACAAGGCTCCACTCTCGCGTGGGGTTGGAGTGTCACAAAAAATAAATACGCGGTAAAACCTTGGATTGCGAGCATAATTCGTTCCGGAAACGTGTTTTGTAATCCAAAGCAATCGTTACATCAGTTGTGTGATCACGTGACGCTCGGCGAGACAAAGCGTGTATACGTACTACTGCTCGTATTGCTAAGACCCGCGCTCGTTTATCAAATTAATATTTATTTAAAAAAAATTTGCTCGTCTTGCAAAACACTCGCAGACCAAGTTGCTCGCAATCCAAGGTTTTACTGTATGGCATTGCATAAAACTCGACGATCTGAGCCCAAAGCAACGAAATGACGAATCGTAATACGCGCAACATTTTTGACATCGCCTCGTGCACCTCCGTACGCTCGGGGGGGCACGCCGATGGCGGGGCCTCGGAAGGAAGAGCGGTCCAGACGTCCAGTGTCCTCCTGCTGCCCGTCTATGCAGCCAGCCAGCCAGCTGCTGCTGCTGTTATGACCAATCATCTGCAACTCGATGAAAAAAAATCCCAGTGTCTCCTCTCGACCATCCCCCCCGCCGCCACGCCACGCCTCGCTTTCCCGTTCCCGTCCCGTCACCGTCGCCCCTTTAATTAAAACATCGCATGTAGCGCAATCCCACGCCGGCGACAAACAACCGTTGTCCCCGCCGCGATAATTAGGCCCGCATCGTTAGTGCACCGGCCTCGCGATTCAACGCTAACGAGGGCATCGTCACCACCACCACCACCATCATCATCATTATTATTTTAACGCAAATTTTGCCGCGGTGGAGGGAGTTAATTTGTTTCAGGTAGTCGCGGCGGTTGTTGGCGTCGAGCGGCATTTCGATTGGAGCCCCCCCCTACCCACACTCCCCCCCCCCCCCCCACCTACTCCCCTTAATTAAAAAGAAAAACGTTTGCATTTGCGCGACGCGAGAGATGAAAACAAAGCAAAAAAAAATTGAAAGCGTTTTTTTTTTTTTTACTAAAAATAATAGCCAGGATCTCTTCACCGTTCAATTCCGCCGAGCGGAAACCGTTTTTCGCGTCCAAAACAAAAAAAAAATCAATTTTTCCGTTCCAGTTTTTCCTTCCGATTCCGTTCGCACGACGTCCGCGTGCTTACAGGCACTTCGTTGCCTTTTGCGCGCCTTCCCACGACGTACACGAGCGGAACCGGAAGAAGAAGAAGAAGAAAAAACCGAAATCGGGCAAACTTTATCGGTGCCGAGGCTCCCACAAGGGCCACGCGGGAGGGCGTTGTGGCGCAGCTTGGCGCCAGCTAAACGTAGTGGGGCGCGGCGGTCTTTGTCGCTACGGTCCTCTGCGGTGAGTAACGGCGTCTTGAAAAACAGCGGCGCTATGGCGTCAAACAATCGGCGCAAACGCACCGCGCGTGTGACGCCTGCTGCATCCTCGGACGTTGGCGTGTCTCCCTCCGCGGTCGCGTGGATTTTTTTTTCCCCCGGGCCCTCCCGGTATCTTCTCCCCCCTCCACATTCGCAGAATGGACATCGGGCGTTGCGAGCATTTCCCGCTGCTATGCGTTTCCACGTGATGACAAGACGCCTCTTGGTCGCGCTTTCATGCGTTACAGCAAGGCTGCCTCTGAAAACGAGCTGCATCGCTACAGTGGGCCTTACCTGGCAGGACAAAGAAATGAGTTCGCACATGGTGCGGTGCGTTTAACACCGGCGCCGGGGAGGCAGACGCGGTGGTCGCGCTCCCTTGACGGCCTCCACAGGTGCTCGCGAAAACAGCACTTGCCCCCTGCGGTCTGTGTAGGCTACGGCGGCGGTGGGGGGGGGGGGGGATCTTTACCTTTGTTTCTGTGCGGCCCCCCCCCCCCCCCCGCCACTGCCCCCCGCGGTGTGCAGGCGACACGGCCGCGTACCGCGACGGAGCGTTCCGCCTGCTGGGGCGCACATCGGCCGACATCATCAAGAGCGGCGGATACAAGATCAGCGCGCTGGAGGTGGAGTGGAATCTCCTGTCTCACCCCGACATCACTGGTAGCTCCCCGGCATCACCCCCACACCCCCCACTGCGCCCCCCCCAGCCTAACACTGCGTGAGAAATTCCCCATGGTCAAAAAGTAAAATAAATCGAGTTCCTGTTCCAACGAGCATTGAGGCGGCACCCGTGCCACCCAGCAGCCGCCCCTTGCGTCATGCCCGCTGTTCCTTCGTAGGGTAGCACTTGCCCCCACGTGTTCCTGCGCCACCCACCCACCCGCCCAACCACCGACCCGCCTGCCCACCAGCCCACCCGCCCGCCCACCAACCCATCCACCAACCCACCCACCAACCCACCTGTCCACCCACCCACCCGCCCAAACGCCGACCCACCAACCCACCCGCCTGCCCACCAGCCCACCCACCCACCAACCCACCCACAACCCACCAACCCACCCACCAACCCACCCCCAACCCACCCACCCACCAACCCACCCACCCTCCCACCCCGCCCCGCGCAGACGTGGCGGTGATCGGGTCCCCCGACTCGCTGTGGGGCCAGCGAGTGACGGCGCTGGTGGTGCTGCGGCGGGGAGCGACGCTCACCCTCAAGCAGATCAAGGAGTGGGCCAGGTAAGCCTGAGCCACCGCCTCCTCTGTGCGGGCCCTGCAAGTTTCGCTGGCTGGATTCGTGCCCGCCTGGCCGGTTAGGCGGCCGGCCGGCCCACCGAGCGGCCAGGTAAACACATTTTTTTATTACTTTTATTTGCTCTTTGTTAACTTTTTTTTTACTACTACACAGGTAAGGCCCACTCAACTATTACGAAGCACTTTTTCAGAGCGGGCTGGCCATCGCAAGCGATGGGCTCTGCGACGGTATGGCCCAGCATTGTCGCCTGGAAATTCACGGCAGCGGCCAACGAAATACTCCCAAAACGCGCCGACGTTGATTCTAAATGCGGAGGGGAAGAAAGCGGAGGACCCCGGGGGAAAAAAATCCACGTGACCACGGGGAGAGGGACACCGCAAACTACAAATATACAGCAGCAGCAGGAGTCGAGGTCGGGATCGTACTCACGACCTCCTGCATACCAGGCGAGGTAGTTAACAATTTCACCACGGGAAGAGAAGAGAGAGACACGCAAACTCCAAATATACAGCAGCAGGCATCGGGGTCGGGATCGTACCCACGACCTCCTGCATACCAGGCGAGGTAGTTAACAATCTCACCACGTGGGGAGAGAGAGAGAGAGAGACGCAAACTCCAAATATACAGCAGCAGCAGGCGTCGGGGTCGATACTGAACCCACGACCCCCTGCATACCAGGCGAGGTAGTTAACATCTCCTAGCCACCGTGGCGCCCCAATCATCGGCATTGGGGAGACAAAGGCGGCCGGGCGGGAGCGGGTGTGGGGGGGGGCGGTTGAGGTGGCGAGTGGTGATGCGCGGAGGCGGGCCGCCGAAAGTGAGGGCCCCAAATTAAATAATTAATGAAACGTTTAAAATCCGTGAGGATGTGCGCGCCGCTCTCTCGTAGCGGCGCCCTCGAATTAACGTGCGGCGTTTGCGAGCCGGCCGTGGCGGTAGTGCTAAAATGTAAATTATCACCTTGCTGCAGTGGTGGTGGTGGGGGGGGATAGGGGGATAGGGGGGGTAGCCAGAGGAAGGGCCGGCGTAAAAAATTTAAGCAAAAAAAAAACAAACGGAGACCACCGTCGTGCATTGTGGACAACCAAAACGGGAGAGGCGAGAGGTGGGGCGTGTGAACGGCCCGGGCGCGTTTCCGTTAATGACTTTGCCGTGCGATTTTTTTTTGGGTTTTTCGCTGCGGTGCCAAAATGCCATTTTAACCGCCAGTTATGTTTTTTAATCGTCGCGGCAAAAACGCGTGTTTTTTTATTTTCAAAAACGCGCCACTGAACACGCTCACGGGATATTTAAAAACAAAAACAAACAAAAAAAATATCTTTTACGTATTAGATTTATTTGCTCCGTAGCATTGCCTCATATTTATACTCGATCATCTTCGTTTTTTTTTTTGCTTGCGCTGTCGGTCGGCTCGGCTCGGCTCGCGTTTCACGGCAGCCAGCGCCACGCGGAAGGGGCACCGCGGGCCGGTCCCCACCAGGGATTCCGGCGGACGTTGCCGTCTTGATTTTGCGGCCGCCGCCGCCGCGTGTTCGGTTCCGTCCGTCGGGAAAGCGTAGCGCGGGTGTCCGTACCGCTGGTCTGAACGTGTACGTGTGCGTGTGCGCATTGTGCTGAACTTCTTTCGTGCCACCGCACGTAGCCAACCGCGGTGGGAAGGACAGCAGACTTTGACACGACGACGACGAGCGGTTGTTAAAGTGCACAGTTCCGGTGGCTTCCTCGGATTGGAAGTACGGCCGCGGCTGGATCCACAGGCAGGCCACGTGCAGCAGCAGCAGCAGCAGCAGTGTAGCCACCACCACCACCATCCACCACCATCCACCACTGGCCCAGCTATTGTCCGTTGTCACTTCAAATCGCTGGGGGTCATCGCACTCCCAAATCCCAAGAAATAGGGCAAAGCAACTCACAAACAAACAAACCCACCCCCCCCCCCCCCCAAGCAACACCCGACCACTCCCCTCCCCCGTCACGAGCCGCCCATCTGCCAGAACGCCCGTGGCCACCCCGCGCTCTCCTGTAAGACACGGGGACCACCACCGCCCCCACCACCACCAACCCCGACCCTTTCCACTCCGCTGCGTCTTCCCCCCCTCGCCCCCGACTCTTATCCACCGCACCGCCCCCCCCCCACCTCCCGCCACGACAGCTCACCGCCCCCAGCGCAATGTGCAGCCTCGCGATCACCGCCGCTACCAAAACCCGAACGTCGTCTCCCCATCCACCCACCACCGCCCTCGTCCACTTCCCGAGACCTCGCGGGCACCGCGGCGAGAAGGCGGTTGTGGTTGTGCCCGCGGGATGAATCTCGGCGCTCTCGGCCGGAGTGGGGCTCAGCGCGGGCATGGCCCCTGGGCTCCGTGAGCCGTGGGTCACCGGCTGTGACGACTTCCATTGGGGCCTCCCCTAGGTCGACTCGGCCTCAAATGATAACCTGGTGCGGTGCGTAAACATCGCCACTGGGGAGACAAAGGCGGACGGGCGTGGTGCTGGCCCACCCACCTCCTCGTGTGCCGTGCCGGCCTTCATAGGTGCCCCAACAGTCTGTTAAGGCTATGGGGGGGGGGGGGTGGGGTAACTTTATCTTTGTCTGCTAAGCTATGAGTTGGAGACTTCACTTCACACCATGGGTGGTCCAGACATCAATTATAACCAAAAAAAATGTCCCTCCAATGACCGGTGTTTTTTTTGGCATATATGCTAAGGTACTCAATAGTAGCTGTCAAGTAACAGACAGACAAACCCCCGTTTCAAGAATCAAAAAAGTATTATTTATGGCTACATAAACTCATTTGCGTCGCTGGACATCTGCTAAAAAGAGCTTCACGGCCCATTCGGATTCCTCCAGCATGGATACAAGATTTCGATTCTGTGTTGCTGGCGCACTGCATTGTGGGAAGCGTTGATACCGTGAGCCACAGTCGCTATCCCAACGAGCAGCGAATCCCTGGGCTCGTTCAGCGCTTAAATGCGTGTCAAATCTTCTTCGGTTCTTTCGGCAAAGTCACGTAGAATGAGAATAAAATAATAAAATAACACAATAAAAATTCTCACAACGTTTCGGCCACAACGCAAGCGGCCGTCTTCAGGTGAAAGGTACAGACCTGCCCGACAGGTGAAGACGGCCGCTTGCGTTGTGGCCGAAACGTCGTGAGAATTTTTATTGTAATTTTTATTATTTTATTCTCATTCTACGTGACCTTACCGAAAGAACCAAAGGAGATGAATCCTTGCGGTCACGAAAGCTTTAAATCGAAAATTACGTGTCAAATGTCGAGGATTGTTACTACCCATCGGACTATCGCCGGGCGCGCAACGGATTCCCGCGTGATTTTTGTTTGCCGTTGAAAATAATTCACCGGTCCCCCGATTGATCGCATCCCTACCGTCAGCTGCTGCCCGTGGCTCAGGTCTCGTTTATTAGGGGCGCAGTGGTAGCGAGATGTTATCGACCTCGCTCGGTACGCAGGTGGTCGTGGTTTCGCATATTGACCCGGCGCTTCGTCCGTCCCCCCCAGCACCCCCCCCCCCCCCGATTAGCACTGTGGGCTACGTACGGTGCGAAAGACGTTCAGCGTACATACGCCAGTATATTGGGAGTGTGCGTGTCCCGTCTCCCCGTGCTCGCGTGGATTTTTCTCCGGGGCCCCCTGCTTTTTTCCCCCCCTCCGCATCTCAGAGTCGACGTGCTTTTAGAGAGCATTTGGCTGCGGGGCGTTTTCCGCGTGGTTAAGCCACTTTTTTTTGGGGGGGCGGCCGCTTGTGATGGCCAGGTCGCTTACGAATAAAAAAAAACCCCCACCCGGCTCAGCGGGGCCTTACCTGGTAAAATAAATAGTGTAAAAAAAAAAATAATTGTTTGTTTAGTTTCATTTGTTTTGGGTTATGACACACGCTGGTAGTTTTAGTCTTGGAAAACCGTCGGTTATGATCATGCCCCCCGACCGTGACAGAAGAGCCTCCCCTCCGCAAGTCATCGGATTTCCTCGCACGATGGGTAAAAAAAGATCGCGATTGCCGTGTGCGCGCGCAGGGAGAGGATGGTGGCCTACACGATCCCGTCGGAGATGATCCTCATGGACGAGCTGCCCAGGAACACCATGGGCAAGGTGAACAAGAAGGACCTGCTGAAGAAGTTCTTCCCGTGATGGAGGAGGGGCGCCTCCGGATCTCGCTCGCTGGCGCCGGTTTCGCGAACGCGGCTTGAGTTTCACCGGCGCCGGTCGACGGCTCCGGGTATTTGTTGGGTGGGTGGGTGGGTGGGGGATATTAGAAGCAAGGATGTTAATGGATGGGAAGAGAGAGAGAGAGAGAGAGATTTAACGGGAAGAGGGAAAAGAGCTTCATGGCTCATCGGATTCTTCCGGTATGAATCAATGTTCTGATTCTGTGGCGATGAGGAAGAATGGGGAATGGGAGGAAAATGATGGAAATGGAATGGATAGATGGGAGGGAGCGAGGGAGGGAGGGAGCGAGGGAGGGAGCGAGGGAGGGAGCGAGGGAGGGAGGGAGGGAGGGAGGCTGCATTAGGGCCTCGACACTGCTGCTGTTGCATGGAGGAGGAGCGGCGTCTGTTTTCAGAGTTCGCGGTTAAAGGGGGAGAGGTTCAGAGTGGGATGACGATCGCTTGTGTTGTGATTGAAACGTCGTGTTTTTTTTTAATTTGAACCTATCTACGTGATTTTACCGAAAGACTCAAAGAATAGGAATTTCTGCAGTCACAAAAGCTTTAAGTCAAGAAATAACACAATTGTAAACGTGACACTCTTGATGGGCGGGTGGAGGATCTAAAACCCAGAAACAAATTAAAATGAACTATGAACTAAACTATATTTTTTATTTTTCAGAAGCGACCTGGCTATTATTACGTATGATAGTGCAAGGAAGTGGCTTATCGCGTGGATATTTATCGCGGGCAAATACTCGAAACGGCTTGGTGACGTTGATTCTAATTGTGGAGGGAAAAAAAACGGAAGAGCCGGAGAAAAATCCACGCGACCACGGGGGGAGAGAGAGAGACGCCGCAAGCTCCAAATATACAGCAGCAGTGGTGAGATTGTTAACTACCTCCCCTGGTACACAGGAGGTCGTGGGGTTCGATCTCGACCCCGATGCCTGCTGCTGTTTATTTGGAGTTTGCGTGTCTCTCTCTCTGTCCGTGGTGAGATTGTTAACTACCTCCCCTGGTACACAGGAGGTCGTGGGTTCGATCTCGACCCCGATGCCTGCTGCTGTTTATTTGTAGTTTGCGTGTCTCTCTCTCTGTCCGTGGTGAGATTGTTAACTACCTCGCCTGATACACAGGAGGTCGTGGGTTCGATCCCGATCCCGACCCCGACGCCTGCTGCTGTATATTTGGAGTTTGCGTGTCTCTCTGCCTCTCCCCGTGGTGAGATTGTTAACTACCTCGCCTGGTACTCCTGCGTACCAGGCGAGGTAGTTGACATCTCCAAGCCACCGGCCTTCTCTTTTGGTTGCTGGGCTCGTGGAGACCATTTATCCCTCCCCACCCGTGGGACAACCACGGCGCAGGATTTCCGTTCCCGTGAACGCCAAAGCACTTATCGCGCAGAGGCCGGGGCATTCAAATGAAGGCCCTTCGTGACCTCGTTGTTGGCTTGGCCCATCGCAGTTTGGCCGACGGTGTTGAATGTTGCACTATATCGGGGGTTTTTTTTCTTCCAAACTCCAGGACTCTCGACCACCACCACCACCACGCCCCGTCTCTTTCTCTCTCTCTCTGCCAAGTTGCTCCTCCCCACACTCGAATGTAAATTAACTCGTTCCGCGCTGCACGCGCCCGATGATTGTCGAACGCGTTTGCGCGTCGTGGAGCGGTGAACGCTGACTTCGTCACGTGTAACGCGTGCACACACACACGCACATGGAACACACGTATACAAGGAACACGCACACACACACGGAACACACGTATACAAGGAACACGCACACACACACGGAACACGCACACACGGAACACACGTATACAAGGAACACGTGCACACAAACGGAACACGCGCACACACACACGCACGCACACTGAGATCTCAATCTTAATACGAATCGGTCGTACAAACGTAATTGCTCGGCGCGTCACGTGGGGCGTGCTTAACAATCATCGGGCGCGTGCGGCGTGGAACCTGCGTACGTGAATGGCGAGGAGTAGCTTGGTGAACGAGGAAAGATGGAGCGTGGTGGTGGTGGTGGGAGTCACGAAGAGTGAAGTTGGGAAACCCCCCCCCGCCCCTCTGCCCTTGCTTGTGCCAGCTGCTAAAACTTGCACCGTGCCTGGCACAGGTGTTCGTGATGACGATGACGCCTCCGACTGTTAGCGGCGTTGCGTCGTTTCTGCTGTTGCATATTTATTTATTGGTGCGTGTGTGTGTGTGGTGTGTGTGCAGTGGAGGGTAGTGTCGTGGTCAGCGGCACTGCGCTACGAAACCCGAGTTCGATTCCCGCACACGACCAATGGCAGCACTTGCCCCCGACGGTCTGTTAAAGGCTATACGTGGGTGGGGGATATTTGTCTTTGGAAGGTTGGAGCGCAGTGGTTAGCGTGCTGCACTACGAACCCTGGGAGGAGAACCGAGTTCGATTCTCCCCGGCCATGGCTAACCCAAACATCGGTGGCGAATTATCTGAACTTGTCCTGGACCTCCCCTAGGTGAACTCGGCCTTAAATGGAACGCACCTAGATACACTGGTGTGTGACCGCACTGGTGCAGGCATGAGGACGTAGGCCACACCAGGGATTCGCCCCGACAGTCCGATCGATGGAGGGGGGTGGAGGGTTACTGGCATCGTTTGAAAAAAAAAAAAACGAGAATAATTTTTCAACCTTTTTTCGGCAATAATGACACGGGGAAGTGTTCGGATGTTCAAACGCCAACTAGTGTGATCGCCCCGAGCGTGGGCAATTTGACGGCGCACTTGCGGTGATTTGTTTAGCGTATTGCTCCGCTAACACCGTTATAAACGCGCGGTTGCGTTTACGCGAAATAATAAATCCACGGGACCTTGTTTTTGCCGGTGTGACAAACACAAATGATGAAAAATAAGAATGGGTTTTAACCCTTTTTGGCTATGAAACCGGAGTTGTGTTCAGATGTTCAAACACCAAATGGGAACCTTTTGCAAGGAATGAAGTTGCTGCATTGACCGCACACGGTAACCTGTGGCGAACATGATTTGGAAGTGATAAATGAAGCGTTGTATTTTGAAATTGATTGGACTACACCAGAGACTACTTCATGGCCCAGTCTGACCGCCAGTGTCAGACCAGAGAACACAACCACAAAAAGGCGAACGGCACAAAGGCAATGCCACTATCAGAGGGCTTATAGCTCGGTGTGAGCATGCAGACACGATTCCCTGAAAAAAAGGTTTCAATTTGGTGTTTGAACATCGTAACACCTCTTTTTTATTAGCCAGGAAAGGGGTAAAATCATATTCTTATTTTTCATACACTTTGATACTTTCAAAAAGGTATCTCTTGATACAGCTGCTGCTCACCCCGAGCTATAAGCCCTCTGATAGTGACATTGCCTTTGTGCCGTTCGCCTTTTTGTGGTTGTGTTCTCTGGTCTGACACTGGCGGTGAGACTGGGCCATGAATAAGGCTGCCCTCTGGTGTAGACCAAGCCGTTTCAAAGACAATGCATCAGATATTACTAGGGCGCGTTTGTCCGCATGTTCACCGCGCAAGTGCTGTGTGTGGTTTAAGTTAATGCAGAAATATGATGCCGTACAAAAAACCCATTACTATTTGGTGTTGAAAAATCTTAACACTTATTTTTCATGCTGGCTAAAGATGCATCAGCATGGAGGGGGGGGGGTATATTATACATCGTTACATGATGATAATATACGCCACACACCACTCTTCCGAGACGTCTGAGCAGCGTGGAAGAGTAGGCCAAGTGGCTGTTTAGAGCCCCCTCTGGCGGGGGGAGGGTCTTTCGCCCTGCAGAAACGCTGAGCGAGGCAATTTGCAGGCTGCACGCGTCGGTCGTTTTAATTATGCCACGTAAGCAGGCTTTCGTGACCAATATTATTCATAATAGAGGTTTTTTGGGTTAGCGTAAGTATAAATGTTGTGTCGTAACCCTCCACCACCCGACACAGCCAATCGGTAAGGGATTTGTCACGTAAACAAAACGCCAATTAGTTACTAGTATAGTGTATAGTAGTGTATAGTGTAGTGTAAATCAGTGTATAGTGTAGTGTATAGTAGTGTAGTGGATAGTGTATTGTAGTGTACTGTAGTGTACTGTAGTGTACTGTAGTGTATAGTAGTGTATAGTTTAGTGTATAGTAGTGTATATCAGTGTGTAGTGTATAGTGTAGTATACTACTTCAGCCCGCCGGTGTGTTTGAGAATAAATCGAGCAGGGTGACGCCTTCCTGCGCTATTTATGACCTTGAGCAGGTGGATTGCTTCCTTATTCTGGTAAATCGCCTGATGATGCTGGATGTCATTACCAGCGAAACGTCGTACTACTCAAATTGTAAATGTTGTGGATTTAGTCTCCAACACACCGGTGGGCTGAAGTAGTATACTACACTATACACTACACATTGATATACACTACACTATACACTACACTATACACTACTATACAATGCATGATACACTACACTACTATACACTATACTATACACTACAATACACTATACTATACACTACTGTACACGACACTATACACTACTATACACTACACTCTACACTACTATACACTATACACTACAATACACTTTACTATACACGACACTATACACTACTATACACGACACTATACACTACTATACACGACACTATACACTACACTATACACTACTATACACTACACTATACATTACTATACACTACACTATACACTACTATACACTACACTATACACTACACTACTACATACCTGACAACCCCTTACCAGTGCCCTACTATACACTACTATACACTACACTATACACTACTATACACTACACTATACACTACACAATACACTACTATACACTATACTAGTAATTAATTGGCGTTCTGTTTACGTGACAAATCCCTTACTAATTGGCTGTGTCGGGTGGTGGAGGGTTACGACACAATATGTATACTTACACGATCTAACCCAAAATCAGTATTACGAGTTACAATTATGAAAATATAATTAAGCGGATAAGTAATCACAAAACGTTTGGTGGGGGGGGGGTGTTGGAATTGTATCGATGACGATCTTACAGAGAGAGGG